CCTGTCCTAATGTGTCCATCCTCACAATCTCTGATATACTTGAGGCCATAGCTGCAGTCACTGTGTCAATCCACCTTGTTAAGGGTCTTCCTCTTTCACTGTCCCTCCACATTTCCAAGCATGAAGTCGCTCTCCAAGGAATAATCTCTCTTAGCAATGTATCCAAAGTATGAAACAAAGCCTCATCATAAATTCCATCAGTCAGAGCAGCATTTTTGTGGACACTCCACTTTTTTCCTTTGCATACACATGTACATATACACACCCTTTTTGAATCATGACTATTTTTCCATAACATAATATATTTCTCTATGACTTTATTTTTCTAATACTGTGTTTCTTTGTATGGCTATGTCATCTTTTACCAATCTCTTCTTGTTATTTGTAATATTTTGTGAGTCAATGCTTTTTAGATTCGTTATTGAAGAATGTTAAATGACCAATCTTCTTTTCATTGATTCCTATTCTAGACTCCCCCGTCCCCCATCCCCTGGCGAATTCCAATACATTAATGAGAAAGAATTTTACAGACGGAAGTTAAAGTTGAATTTCTGCTCTGCCAAGTATTAGTTTTGTAACCTCGTACAGGAATGCATTGTTATGTTGCCATTGAGTCAACTACTACTCTTAGTGACCCTTTGAACAACAGATCCGAACTCTGTCCTATCCTGTGCAATCCTCACCATCTCTAACACTTGAGCCCATTGCTACAGTTACACAAGAATAGCTGATATACATTACCTACATAGTGTAGTCATTTCTTGATTCTTTTCAAGTGCTTTGTCTAATTATAATGCCTGACTTGAGGAAATTTGTAAAACATTTTCATATTTATATACCATAGACAAAAAAGATACCAAGCAATTTTTAGTAATCAGGTTTTGGCTGCTTGTATTCATCTTTTAATTGTCAGTTTTCATTTTTTTCCCCCCATCTCTCTCTCTCTCTCTTTTTTATAGAGATAAGATTTGAGTTTCCACAACTGACTGGAGTGCTAACTCTTGCGTTCTTTATTCATAATTGTGCAATTACACTCTTAAAGAACAACAAGAATCAAGAAAACAATGTAAGTAATTATCTGAGGAACCTGCTTCGTATCTCCTGAAGACAGACTTTTAAAATCAATATTTGAAGTACAATTAAGCAGTTTTGTTCTGGAACTCAGTTTTCAAATTTAATACATAAAGGTCAGCAAACTTTTTCTGTTAATATTTTAGATGGTATGGGCTTTGCAGACCCATATAGTATTTGTAAAATCCACTCAATTCTGCTCTTGCAGCATAAAAACAGCCACAGATAATATGTAAACAAATAACTGGTAACACAAAAACTGTGTTTTAATCATACTTTTTTTTTCTTTTTTTTTTTTTTTTTTTGGTGGAGACAAGCTGTCTTTATTGCTGGGGGTATTTTTAGAAACAAACAAATAAAAGAACCTGACCAGGTAGCAAACTAGATTAGAACCATGGTACCAATTGCTTGCCAGCCCTTGCCATATGACAACCCTTGAAGAATGAAGAGATATAGCTGATATCTTGGGTTCCCATGGACTTATTTTCATTTTCTTTGGCCTCAGTTAGAACTTACACATAAATAATTGATGGTCTGACCGACAGTCCACCCCTGGACTTCCAATATTGAGCTTCTCCAACAATGCCTTCCACAGATGTAGTCAGTCTGATTCCTGTACAGCCCATCAGGTGAAATCCATGTGTAAAGTCACCATTTGTATCTTTATAAAAAACTATTTGCTATGAATAAATCACTGAAAATACAAAATTCGATCATTCTATTTCCAGCTTCTTTTCTATCATCATCAAGCCTGTATTTTCCAATTCTAGCTCTTCACTGTTTCCAACTTTGCATTTCAGTCACTAGTCTTTTTTTTTTTCATTTTTTTTTTCAGTCACCAGTTATTATTAACACATCTTGATTGCATGTTCCATCAATTTTGGACTGTAAGATTTGGTAAACATTTTCAATGTCTTCCTCTTCGGCCCTAAGTGTAGAAGTGTATATTTGAATAATAGTTTTATTAATAAATCGTCCTTGTATGTGTAAGGATAATATTCTGTCACTCAGAATATTGTACTTCAGGATAGAACTAGAAATTTACCTTTTTTATTATGAATGTAACACCATTCTTCTCCTGTTTTTCATTCCCTGTATAGTATACTATATGATTATCTGATTCGAAGTTGCCAAAACTAGTCCATCTCATCCCACTAATGCCTAATATATATAAGTCCACGAGTACCGAGATATGATCTTGAATCTATTCCATCTAAATTTCAAGATCATCTTAAGAATAGGTTTGTAGCATTGAACACCAATAGTTGAGTTATGGGAAGCTATGAAGAATATCATCTATGAAGAAAGCAAAAGGTAATTACAAAGACAGAGGAGAAAGAAAAAACCAAAATGTGTGTAAAAAGAGACCTTGAAAATTGCACTAGACCGTAGAGAAATAAAACAAAGGGGAAACATGATGACGTAAAAGGACAGAACAGAAGATTTCAAAGGGCAGTTTGAGAAGACAAAGCAAAGTATTTTAATGGAATGTGCAGAGAGCTGGAATTGGAGGAAAAAAAGGGGAAGTATTCACTCTCCATTTCTCAAGCAGGGAAAACTGAAATACAAATTTAAGTCTCGAATCACAATATTGAATGATGCTATGAGGAATACATTGAATGACCCAGAAAGCATCAAAAGAATATAGAGGGTATATGTAGAATCACTGGATCAAAAAGAAGCACCTGACACTGAAAAATGTCAGGAAGTACCATATGAGCAGAAACCAATGGTAATAAAGAAGGAAGATGAAGCTGCATTGAAGGCATTGGCAAAAAATAAGGCCCCAGGAATCTGTGGGATACCAGTTGACTTGTTTCAATTAATAATTGTAGCCTTGGATGCACTCGCCAGTCTGTGCTAGAAAAATTGGAAGACAGCTGTGTGACTAGCAGATTGGAAGAGGTCTATATTTGTTCCCATTCCCAAGAAAGGTGATCCAACAGAGTCTTGAAACTATTGAACAATATCATTAATATCACAGGCAAGTAAAATACTGCTGACAATCATTTAAAAACAGCTTAAACAGTACATAATAGGGAATTGTCAGATGTTCAAGAAGGATTTAGAAGAGACCATGGTACCAGGAATATCATTGCTGATGTCAAATGGATCCTGGCAGAAAGTAAAGAATACCAGAAGAATGTCTATGCTTTATTGACTATGCAAAGACATTTGACTGTGGATCATAACAAGTTATGGTTAACATTGGGAAGAATGAGAATCTCACAGCACTTAATTGTGCTCATGCGGAACCTATACCTAGACTGTTGTGCACACAGAGCAAGGAAACACTACATGGTCTAAAATTAAGAAGGAAGTGGGTCAGAGTTGTAGTCTCTCTTCCTACCCATTCAGTCTGTATGCTGAACAAATTATTTGAAAAGCTGGACTCTGAAGAGGAGTGTGACATAAGGATTGGAGGGAGACTCATCAATGAGTCTTTGCAGATGACACAACTTTGCTTGCTGAAAGTGAGGAGGACTTGAAGCACTTGTTGCAGACTGTCAAAGGATACAGCCTTCAATATGGATTGTATCTTAGTGGCAAGAAATCAAAAATTCTTAGCACTGGACAGATAGGCAGCATCGTGATAGATGGAGAGAAGATTAAAACTGTCAACAACTTCATCTTACTTGAATCCATAGTTAACACCCTTGGTACCAGCAGTCAAGATATCAGGAGATGCATTACAATGGGAAAGTCTGCAGTCAAGTGCCTCTCCCAATTATTGAGGAGTAAGGACGCCAGTTTGAGGACAAAGGTGCATTTGATTGAGGCCATGGTCTTTCAAATCACTTGCTAGACATCTGAGAGCTGACAGAAGAGTTGATGTTTTTAAGCTGTGGCATTGGAGAAGAGCGCTGAATATCTGAATCTGGACTGCCAAAAGAACAAACAAATATGTCTTGGAGAGGATGGAGCCAGTGCTCTTTGGAGGCAAAGATGATGTGGCTTTGCATGTTGCTAGGAGGGGCTATGTCTTGGAGAGGGACATAAAGCTTGGAATGGTAGAGGGTCACCAAAGGAGAGGAAGACCCTTGACCTGGTAGATTGACATGGTGACTGCTGCAATGGGCTCTAATGTATCAGTAAGTGTGAGCATAGCACAGGGTTCAGATCTTTTGTTCATAAGCTTGCTATGGGTTCTACTAGACTGGAGGACACTTAATGAAAACCACACAGTTGATAAGCCAGTAATGGTGATAGAAATAGTCATAAAAGTATCTAGGTGATATAAAAGAAGATATGGGAAAAGAAGGAAGATTGAATAAAAAAAAAAAGGCAGAGGGAATCTCAAGATGTTGAGATTATATACCTTCAAGTCAAAACTGGCTAGAATTGACACTAAGTACATCTCACTGCCATGGAGTCATGTGGTGGGTTTTCAGAAGCTGTAAGGTGCACAGGAGGAAGTTGTCCATCTTTCTCTCATGGAGCAGCCAGCAGATTGGAGCCACGTGCCTTTTTGATTGGCAGCACATTTCCTTCCCACTAGACCACCCTATCTCCCTGAATACCAAGATGGTAGATTTAAGCCCAATCATACTGTTAATTATATTAAATATCATTAATGTAAACATTTTCACTAAAAGATAGAAATTATTAACTTGTCTTTTTTAAAAATGCAAAAACTATCTATATGCTATATATAAGAAACTTACTTTATAACACTATATTGCTTTGATTGCCTACGGCTGTTTCAACACAAATGTCACAAGGTGATGGATTTTAAAAATAGTCTATTTGCACATGATATGATACTATATATACAACATTCCAGAGAGTCTGCAGGAAGACTCCTAAAGCTAATAGAGGAATTTAGCAAAGTTGCAGGATACAGGGTCAGCAAACAAAAATCAATTAGGTTTCTGTACCCCAGCAATGAGAAATCGGAAAAGAAAATTAGGGGAACAATTTTATTTACAATAGCATCTAAAATATTGAAATACCTAGAAAGAAATCTAACCAAGGACATGAAAGATTTATACAATGTTAACTTTAATCAGTCTTAAACCATGCAGTGTTCCCCTTCTCCATTCACACAAAAGCCTCCTGGTCCAGATCCACGTCCCACATGAGCACAGTTAAGCACTCTTTGACTCTCATTCTCCTCAATGTCAGCCACAACTTGTTATTATTGACACAGTCAAATGCCTTTGCATAGCTGATAAAGCACAAATAGACATTCTCCTGGAATTCTTTCAGCCAGGATCCATCTCACATCAGCAGTAATATCCCTTGTGCCACAGCCTCTTCTAAACCCTTGAACTTCTGGTGGTTCCCTATCTATGTAACTGTTTTAGCCTTTTATTTAATGACCTTCAGCAGTATTTTACTTGCATAAGAAATTAATGTTATTGTTCAGTAATTTCCTCACTCTGTTTGGATCACATTTCTTAGAAATGGGAACAAAAATGGACCTTTTTCAATCCGTTGGCCAGACAGCTGTTTTCCAAAGATTCTTACCACTGGACTGATAGACAATACCATGATGGATGGAGAGGAGATTGAAACTGTCAAAAGCTTCATCTTGCTTGGACCCACAATTAACACCCTTGTTACCAGCAGTCAGGAAATAAGGAAATGCATTTCCCTGGAAACATCTGCAGCTAGGAACCTCCCCAAATTATTGAGGAGTAATGATGTCAGTTTGAGGACCAAGGTTCATCTGATTCAGGCCAAAGTCTTTCTGATCACTTGCTTTACATCTGAGAGCCGGATTGAACATCCCATGGGTGGCCAAAAGAACAAACAACAAATATGGCTTGGAGAGGGTGCAGACAGAGTGCCCTTTAGAAGCAAGAATGATGAGGCTTCACCTCACATACTTTGTTGTTAGAGAGGCTATTCTTTGGAGAGGGACATGGTGCTAGGAAGGGGGGAGAGTCAGCAATGAGAGGAGGACCCTCAACCAGCCACCGTGAGCTCTTGTATGTCAGGCAGTATGCGGATGGCACAGGAAAAAAACAGGTTTCAAATCTTTTATTCATA